TCAAATTCATAACTTTTGAGGCATTCTAGGCTTCGGTTTTGGTAGCCTAAATCATTAGAACCATCTCATTCTGGGGCCTTCTAGGTTGGTTGGGCATCCCACTCTTGATTTCTACTCAGGTCATGATCCCAGGGTCCTGGAATTGAGCCCTGAGTTCGGTTCTGCACTGGGGCCTGCTTCTGCTTCGGATTCTCTCTCTCACTTCATCAGCCCCTCCCCAACACATGGGCATTCTCTTTCTCTCTCTAAAAAAAAAAAAAAGAAAAAAAGTCTCAGACTAATGGCCTGATGGCCTCCTTGTTTAATGAATTGAACAATACGAATCAATATAAAAAAGAAGAAAAGGAAAAGTTATTTTCAGTACACATACAACTAATACATAATACAGGAAGGAATATAAGCATAGTACCATCATAATAATAGAATCATAAATATGTGGGAGGTTTGTTAGAGGTCACACCCAATAGCTTGTGCCTTTTGACTCAGGTAGGTGAGATTCTCTGCTGAGATCAATAGTCAAGGTAATGGGGCACGAGGAACGGTGTGATGTGGAACAGTAGTGACGGAGGGGAGAGGGGGCAGACTACCCACTCTGAGGATGATTGCCGAGGGACCCAGCTGAGGATGGTGATCGGGATTTCCCTGTAGTGGTATCAGCCTTCAGGTTTTGACGCCATTCTCCATCCGCTGAGGAGGGCAACTCGAGGAAAACTGGGTAGAGATTTGCCAAAACTCTTGAGGAAAGGGCCTGGAGAATTGAATTAAAATAGCACCTCACTTTGGGTTTCATTAACTTTCTGACCTCCCTGCCAAGTCCCACCGTTGGGGTCAGCAGGTTTTGGCGTGTTGTCTTCAGCTAAGGGCACAACGCTCACAGCAGGACAAAAAGATGGATTAATGCTAGCCAGGCTGAGCAAGACCAGGCTTGGTAATTTTCTTGGCACCCAGTCTTGGCAACACACAACTTGAATGAAAACACTAGCTGTAGAGCTCCCATGACTTACTCTGGGTAAGGCGCTGTGCCAAAGGCTTTACGTGCCATGTTTTCCTTAATCTTCAAAAAAACTGTCCGTGAAGTGGGTATTGTTATCAGCCCCATTTTACAGTTAAGAGGGCAGGGGCCTAAGGAAGTTAGTAATTTGCTTAAGGCCACCTGGCCAGTTATTGACGGAGTCACTTAAGTGTGACAACAGTCGTCGCTCTCCTGAGTGTCAGTCCCTAGGAACGCTGAGAGCGGTAACATATTACGAGAGCCCATGTCATCGAACACATACGGTAACCGCGGTGGCCCAGCCAGCACCCGTCCGGTGACCCGACACGCGTGATGCTCACGCATGCAGTCGCCCTGCCTTCCTCTGGGAAGGAGGAGGCGGCCTAACCAGCCAAGCTGTCGAGGACGACTCTATCTGAACTCGACTCTTTTTGCCTGGGCGTCTGATCCAAACGTGGCGCGGACGGGAAGAAGAGGGCGGGGCCGGCGGCCGGGAGAATTGCGGATTGGAGAGAAGGAGGGACAGGGGGCGGAGCCTTCGGGGGAAGGGAGAAGCCGCATCAACCATGTAAGTGGCTTTGCTTCCTGCAGCAACCGCCGGCGGCCCGAGTACCCCCGTCGCTGCGCTCCGGAGCTGGCTTTCCGCGCCTGAACGGGGTGAAGCGGCGACCGGGGTGGAGGGTGGCCGGCGGGGCCCAGGCGGGAGGCGCAGGTAAGGGAGGGGGCCTGGCGCGCGGCCGGCTGGCGCTGAGAGTGAGGAAGAAGGCCGGTTTGGGGAGCTCCGGGGCCAGAGCCGAGGGGAAGGCTGAAGTGAAGGCGAGAGCTGAAGCTTCACCACCGTGGCTGGAGGCCGGACTGTGGCCGAGGCTGGGCAACGAAGGGCAGAGAACCGGTACCTGCAGCAAGCCGGCTCCCCGATTCCCCGGTTGCCCCTGGTCTGGGAGCCGGGTGCGGCTGTTCTTGAAGAGGTTTCCTTGGAAACATTTGAAGTTCTCTTGCCCCTCTCTTGTCCCACTCTCAGCTTATTTCGGAGGTGCACAGTCCCGTTCCTCCTCCTCCTCTGATGGATCAGCTCCTAGTCTGTGTGTCAGAGGTGCATCCGTAGACTGAAAAAGAAAGTTCTTGAGCTGCAGAAAACGACACCAGTAGTGGGTTTTCAAATATGAACAGACCTCTTTAAAAATATTTGTTTCTTCTACTTGAGTCCATCCCATTACTACCTATGTTTCAAAGTCTCTTGAGGAGGAGACTTGATTTCCCATTTAGTATTTTACCTTTGCTTATAATGTTCCCAGCAAAAGGGTGAGGATGAAATGCGATGGATGTTTTTAGAGAATTAAGATATGTCCAATATAGAGATTATTTTTAAGATATTCAAGAGATATGAGAAGTGCTAGAATTCTGTAGAAAGCAAGTTATTTATGTTTATCTGAGATGTGTAGGTATGTGTTAAATTATCATTTATTGATTCAGTGCATACTCTGTTTTAAAACCAGAGGTAGTGGTTTGATTTTGCACTCTCTTATTTCAAACTTATTTGAATCTCCTTTTCTGCCACTCCAAAACTTTCATTCTATCAGGATTCAAAAATAACCTTAGTTGTTTGTTTGTTTGTTTGTTTTGGTTGGGTTTGGGCTTTTGACAAAGATTGGGCAGGTCATCTGTTCTGTGGAGCAAAACAACTTTCCCTTTTTCTTTTCCTGTGGGCTCCCATTTTCTGCTTTCTGGGAAGAGTAATGTGGATCACGTTGTGGTCTTCCTTTAGTGTTTCTGTTGGCATGTTGGTAAAAAATTGAACAACAAAATCTTTGTTGATGGAAACTGACAATTCTAGTATTCAGCTGGCCTGCATTATTAGATATGTCTTGAGTATTTTTAAAAACTGTATTTAGAAATTATTCAGCTGATACTTGGATTTTTTCATCCACTATATTTTGAAATTGGCCAGTGGATCTGGCCTGTGTTCTACATGGAATACCTGATTAGCCTTCACATTGGCTTCATCACCGAGATAGTGTGTGGTGGGGTAGCCTTCAAAGAAGAGGCAAAGTACTGGCATTTGGAAGGCCAGGTTAATATTTCTAATTGCCTGTCAGCAAGGAGGCCTAGTTTATATCCCAGACAGTAATTAAGCTGCCAGAGAATAAGAGTTGTAAGGCAGTTTTTTCAAGATCCTGGTGTCATTATGAAATTGTTAAGATTAGCTATGTGATTGTGTTTATGTTTCAGAGACTGCACTTGCTGAGCGTTTTCGTGGTAATTTTTATGCTCACATCTCCAAAGCTTATTAATAGTTTTGTATATGGGTGACCCTCAGTAGTAACGCTGAGATTCTTCATGCAGATTGCTAACTCTGCTTCAGATGCTACTTATGTCACAGTAGAATGTGGACTGTTTTTCCAAGCCTGAGGGTGGTTGTTGCAATCACACAATCCTTTGTCTTTAGTACTCTTTTTTCTTCCCCTTCCCCCCCCCCCCCATTTTGAGTTGACACGAATTCGTTTAGCAGCTTGCTTCAGAATCTTTTATGCTGGAATATGGATTGTCATGATGATTTAGAATTGTTGACTATTCTCCCCAATAGACGGTGGTATTAGAGACCCTTTCTGTCTCCCTCCATCTCCCTCACTCCCTCCCACCCTCTCCTCCTTTCTCCCTCCTTCCTCTCTCTTCTCCATCTCTCTCCTTCCTCCTTTTCCTCAACACTCCTTCCTCTTTTTCTTCCTCCTCTACTCCCCCCCCAATACCAATAAACATTTATTGCCAAATCATGTTCAAGTCCATGGTTTCATTTCTGCTTTAATCAAATTATTAATCAGGAATTTAGATAGGCTGGAATTGAAGTCTGTGAAGAGCTACAATAATAATTTCGATCTAAAGAGGAATTCTGGGATAAAACTTGGGGTGTAATTACAGTTCTACCACTGACTGACTAGTTGTGTGACCCTCAGGAAAGTCACTTTAGGTTCAGTGTGCATTGGTTGCCTCAAAGGCAAAGTGTAGTAAGGCCAGCTCTGTGCGCTTTCCAGGATTTTTGTAAAATTAAAACAAGGTGGTAGATACGATTTTGAAACTGAAAAGCGTTTTGTGGGAGTGTGATGTCCTCTTTGTAAGATATAAAGTAGATGACAAAAATCAAAAGTCATCTGTAGTACTTTAATGACTACAGTTATGCATAGTTCATGGTTGTCATTAATTTGAAGTGTTAAAGAGACATCAGTGTTTTTCTCTACCCTCCATCTGGTGATGTGCTTACCTTTACTACTTTGGTTCAACTATCATTTTTGGTTATTTAAAAAAAAAAGCTCTTTAAGATCTTCATTTTAATGTCTATATGAGGTTATGCTTAAAAGGAGAAAAACCAGATTCACGTGCCTAGGAGGAGAGATGACAGGAACAGCTTGTTGATTTGAATAGTTCTTGAGGAGATGAGGCACGGTTTGAAGAAATCTTTGAGGTTGTACAGAAATGTCATTAAGGGATGACTGTTTCATTTTCTTTTCTTGGAAATATTTATGTTTTATATTTTTAAAAGAAAAATTGAAATAAATTAAAAATTTTTTTTGAGGAATTAATATGGTTGTGTAAAACCAGTTTTCCTTATAACTTTAAGCAGCTGTTGAGTTATCTCTTTTTCCAAAAAAAATGTTAAAATGGAAAAGATATAAATTATGTGAAAATGCTTTTTATTTCTTTTTTCCTGCTCACATTTGTACCTTACCTCCAAATTACTAATAATTTTTATATTTTCTGTAGATTAAATAGCAATGTTGAAAATTAGATTGGCTGTGTAATCGTAGTTTCAGTTGTCTGACACCCTTCCTTATGATCTAGACTGCAGTGTTTTTAAGCCTTAATTTGCAATATATACTAAACTAGATTTATTTACTCTTTGGTTTCGGAGATCAGAGTTTTCAGAGTCAGATTTCCAGATATTTAGGTATGCTGTTTGGAATCAAATTTTGGGCTTCCTTAGGAACTCCTATCTTTTGTTTTTTAGACTCATGAAATGGCCACAGATGATAAGACTTCCCCAACATTGGACTCTGCTAATGATTTGCCTCGATCTCCTACTAGTCCTTCTCATCTCACACACTTTAAACCTTTGACTCCTGATCAGGACGAACCTCCTTTTAAATCAGCGTATAGTTCTTTTGTAAATCTCTTTCGATTTAACAAAGGTAAGACTTGTTCTTATGGATCAGAGAACCTGTAATTTTGATTTTCTAAAATTCTCTTGTTCAGCTCAGCTTTCATGCTGTGTTTTGCAAGAATGTGAAATATCAACAAGGAGATAGCTTTAATCATCGGTCACTGGGGTTTGCTGCTCAAGAGAAGAAAGCTAGAATTTTCCCTGTAATCTTATTAGTTATTGGTAACTGAAGATCTGAATTGAAAAATAATGTTAAAAGGAGATCCCTCTTTGAAGGTAGCATTTTTTTTCACCTTTCTTAATATGTTTCAACTTTCTTAAGTTCACAGAATGGACTTTGTTTTTATGGGGGTAAATAGCCAAAAGATTTTAATTAAAGCCATAAAACTAGAAGACTCAGCACCTGGGAGGAAAGATTCCTATTTTTCCAAAATTGAAACTGTTAGCACGCTTTTTGACTTAAACCTGTTAGATTAAGATGTAAGTGTAATAATATCAAGTGAAAAGATACTTTTTACCTATTTATATAAGGAAATTTAACATCATGCAGGACTTTTATTTAATCAACAGTCTATTCCAAACAAATGCATTGCCCTCAAAACTTCCATTCCAGGGTCAGGTCCAGGATTACATACTGCATATAGTTTTCATCTATCTTTTGTCTCCTATTCTCTGTCTTGTGAGATGGACATTTTTGTAGAGAACACGCCAAATATTTTACAAACTGTTCCTTAATTGGGATCTTGCTTATTTTTATTTCTTTAATTAAAGTATAGCTGACACCTAATGTTACATTAGTCTCAGGTGTACAACATAGTGATTTTGACAAGTCTATACATTATGCCCCACTCCCCCAAGTGTAGCTGTCATCTGTCACCATACAGCTTTACTGCAGTACCATTGACTATATTCCCTATGCTGTATCTTTTATATCCATGACTTGTTCATTCCATAACTAGAAGGGAAAAAGTACTTTTTAAGTGAGCTCTTTTGAAGTAAGGTATTTTTTACCTGGAAGAAAAATTTTAAAAAATAGGGGCGCCTTGGGTGGGTCATTCAGTTAAACATCTGACTCTTGACTTCAGCCTAAGTCATGATCTCACAGTTCCTGAGTTGGAGCCCTGCGTTGGGCTCCGCACTGCCAGCATGGAGTCTGCTTGGGATTCTCACTTTCTCTGCTGGTGTTTTCTTTCTCTCTCTGTCACTCAAATTAAGTAAATAAACATTAAAAGAAAAATTTAAAAAAATATGGCCTATTATCTCTGCTTTATATTTGGCTGTATTATTTGAAATGCATTAGAAAGTAATCCCTCTTGTAAGGAACTTGAGGGTTAATAGTTTAATTAGTTCAGAAGAAATTTTAATAGTATTAACAGACTTTTTTTTTTTTTTAAGTTTGTTTATTTATTCATTCATTCAGAGAGCAGGGGAGGGGCAGAGGAGAGAAGGAGAACGAGAATCCCAGCAGGCTCAGCACTGTCAGCACAGAGCCTGACAGGGGACTTGATCCCATGAACTTGTGAGATCATGACCTGAGCCAAAACCAAGAGTTGGAACTGACTGTGCCAACCCAGGTGCTCCAGTATTAACTGACTTTTATTAGTAGTCAATTTAAAGTTCTATGAAATCTCCTCCTGTTAGTCCATTTTTAAGGTAATGACTTTTTAGAAAAATTTTATTGTTTGCTTTTAGATTTACAGAAAAATTGGGAAGATGGTACAGGATTCTCATATACCCCCACACCCAGTTTTCCCTGTTATTAACATCTCACGTTAGTATAGTGCACTTATTACAATTAATGAACCATTATTGACACAGTATTATAAACTAAAGTATGTGTTTTATTCATTCTTCAGTTTCTACCTAAAGTCCTTTTTCTGTTCCAGGATCTCATGTGGGATTACACATTATATTTAGTCATCATAAGACAATAATCTTTTTGTTTATTCAGCAAATGTTTATTGAGTGCCTATTATCCACTGTTGCACTGTTTTAATAGTGCATGGGATCTATCCCATAAACAAAGCAGATAAAAAAATTTTCGCCTTTGTGTGAAGCTTACATTCTATTTCCTTTAATATGCTCAAGGTACTTCTAATGAAAAAGTGAAACAAACTGAAGATCACATGCCAAGGAAGAAATATTGGCCCATAATTTTGCCACTTTCTTGAATATCTTTTTTTTAAGCTAATTTTTAGTTATGCATACATTACATATATACATTATCTTCAGAACAGTTTTATCTATTCCTTCTCTTTGCTGAACTCTGAGTCTTAGTTTTGCAAATAATGCCAAGCTTTCCTTTGCTACAGAGAGAGTGGAAGGGGGCCAAGGAGAGCAGCCGTCTCTAAGTGGAAGTTGGGCCAGCCCTCAGCTCCCTTCAAGAACACAGTCTGTGAGGTCACCTACACCTTATAAAAAACAGCTTAATGAGGAACTCCAGCGGCGATCTTCAGCAGTATTAGGTGAGACAGTGTTCTTATTTCATTCCTTTCTGTGTGTTAGATTTTTCCAGACATTGTGTTTCCCAGGTTATTTAGTGACTTAACTTTTCTGCTGTTTGGAATAGTCAGGTGCTCTTCAGAATTCATGAAACTGTTACCTAGATAGTGAAAGAATTTGTTGATACCTAAAAAAAAAAAATTCTTAAGCGTTTTGTTAAATTTTAACTTAGGCCAAGCACAGATATCTTGACTGTCTTTTTGATTAATTACTTGCTTGGGTTTCAGAAGAAAACAGTTTGCAACATCCCCAGGAGAATACAGGTTAGTTTCAACTTTGTGAATTAATTCTGCATCTGTTCTTGGGATGGCTAGTGTAATGTGGTGTGCATGCCTCTGGCTGCAGAACTCTCAACTCCGTTAGTGGGCTGCCCCTTGCTCTTGTCCTTCTGTCCTTGTTGGGATGCGGACTGTCATTGTGGCTGGAGGGATGCGGACTGTCATTGTGGCTGGATAAGCTGAGCTCTTGCCTGTTTGTTCTCTGTCCTGGTCTACTGTAGTCATCTCCTTCATTTTCATGCTTTTCTGATGAGTATAGGCTGGGGATCAGTGTCTGAATGAGAGACTAGACAAAGTCAGTTCTATGTTAGATTCTATGTTAGAGTTCTATGTTAGTCAGTTTCTGTTAGATTATTAAACTCAGCACAGTGGCTTGCCCAGCTCAAGGGGGCAAAAGAAAGGCAGTGAGAGGTGACATAATAGAGGGGGCAGCATTGGAAGTCAAGTGTCCCTGAACACCAGATCTTGTCTTGTCTGGCCAGTCTTCCCCGTGAGATCCTCCAGTGAAAAGTGGGCAGGCACAGGTAATGGTGGTTGGCGAGAGAGCTCTTCTAGCTAGTTCAGATTCAGTTTACGACCTCCTAAGGACTGGAGTGGGGCGGGCTGCATCACCACTGCAGGTTTCCCAGAGCAGTGAGCCTCTGCCTGGGTTACATCAGCCACTTGGAAGGAAGAATCAGAAGGTGGGAAGTGGGGGAGAGAGAAAGGAGGCCATCCTTACTTTAACCTTTAAGCTCAGTAAGCTCCTTTGCTTTTGAACCTGACCTCTGGCAACACTACTGTTTTTGTGGAGGGGTCTGACTAAATCCTATGCTGAATTAAGCATAGAATTTCTTTATTTGTCAAATTGAGGAGTTGGGCTAGAATCTGATCTCTTAGGGGTTACAAACTGACAGCCTACCACACCTTGTCGTGGTGTTTTGATGAACTTGAATTTAAATATCACAAGGTGGAGCTTGTAATGTCTAGTTTGCTGCAATCCCCACTACTCCTTACTTTCTTTCAACTCCGTTTGATTCTTTGATTGTACCTTAGCTGCTAGAAGCATTTAAGCTTCAGAAGCCTGAGACTGACCGATCAAGTTCATTTTTCTTTCTTTCTCTCTTTTTTTTAAATGTTTGCTTATTTTTGAGAGAGAGAGAGAGAGAGAGAGAGAGAGGGAGAAAACGAACATGAGCGGGGAGGGGCAGAGAGAGAGTGGGGGCCAGACGATCTGAAGCGGGATCTGCACTGACAGCAGAGAGCCCCATGTGGGGCTTGGACTCACGAACTGTGAGATCATGCCCTGATTTGAAGTCAGACACTTCACCAACTGAGCCACCCAGGTGCCCTCAAGTTCCTTTTTGTAACAAAAGGCTGCAATTCCACAATTTATTTGCTATGTGACTTTAGGAAAGTCATTTAATTATGCAATATCCATTTTACAGGAGAAACAACTAAGGTTATTTAGGGCAGAGTGCTAGACCAGATTTCCTCTCAGATCTCTGTCACCTCCATCGGATACTTGTGATTCTGTTGGTTCCAGGAACAGTGCCGCTCTTCCTTCTCCAGTGAATGATGCTATTAGTACTCTCTTATACCTCTAAGCAGCTAGAAGGGGCTTCACGATTATTTGTTGTCCCTGCATGGGAGCACAGCTATTGGAATTCTAACAGCTTCGTCTGCCTCTTTTTTCAACTCAAATTACAGAGAGTTGCTTTTTATTATATTGTGATATTCAAAATTTTGGTCATTCTAATACTTGTACCTTTTATTCTAGTAACAACACATCTGAGTTATCTGCTGAAATTAGGGTAATACTATTTATAGAAAGGTAAAGTTTTTAAGTTTTCTAACAGGTACAGTTTCAATAATCACTTCTGTGATTCAGTTGTCTTTGGAGTTCTTTGTCAGTTTAGAGGCCAACCTCTCATTTCTTGGTAATCCTTTCTGTCCCATCCAGCCCAGACAAAGAACAGCTAAGGCAACTAGCAAATAAGTGAGTTTGAGAAGATTTAAGGTGGTGTATTTTCCATCCTGATCTGCCATAGGTTATTAGGTTAATGAGTTTAAGCTAACAGAGATGTCAGCCTTTTTGTCAAGCCACCTTCGCTTGACTTAGGTTTTGTAACTGCCAGAGCCAGGAATAGGTGGTAGCTTCAGTGGTAATCTGGCTGCAAAATGAAATAACATGACAGCTTTGGTGGGCACACCCGTTTTGGCTACAAGACTGAATTTGGGTTTGTTTTACTATTGATAGGACTGGCATAAGTATTGCTATTTAAAGTGTAAGTGATCCCTTCCAGTTGGAGATGCAGGGTTAAGGAGGTGGCAGGAAAGGGTAGGATTGGAGTTCTAGCAATTCTTTGGCATTTTTATCTGTTTAGACTTGATGGAGGGACTTTTGTGGGTAAGTTACCACCCTGGATGTTCTGAACTCTGTCAGAGTCTTTGGGGGCTGGGTTATTAAACTTTCTGATCATCTGCTCAATGAGGCTTAGGTGGTTTGTGTGTAGACTGAACTGGACTGTTGCTTACTGTTTGACTATAGAGGCTAAGCTAGGTTAACTCACAGGGGTTGCCTTTTCTTCTGCTAAATTTCTAGCCGGTATTGATTATGGCTTGGGACCAAAGAGCCCAATAAATCATTAATGAATTTTGGGGCCATTTAAGCAGTACATCTGGCAGAGGCCTCAAAACTCTCAGTGGTCTTTTTAGACAGTGCTTGTGTTAGGTAGCCCTTACTTGCCTATGAAGCAATGTTTTACATGGTAGTAAGAAATACTTCCAACAGCCTCTTACCTTTATAAAGACTAGTTTTTTTTTTTTTTTTTTTTTAAATGTTTGCTTATTTTTGAGAGAGAGGGAGACAGAGCACGAGCGGGGAAGGGGCAGAGGGAGAAGGAGACACAGAATCAAAAGCTGGCTCCAGGCTCTGAGCTGTCAGCACAGAGCCCGACACGGGGCTTGAACTCATGTACTGTGAGATCATGACCTGAGCTGAAGTTGGATGCTTAATCGACTGAGCCACCTAGGCACCCCCTATAAAGACTAGTTTTAACTTTCAATCCATATCACTGGCTGGGAGAACATAAATTTATGTTAATAGTAAAAGGCACTATACATCACATATATATCTTCATATATGCCTTGTTTTTGCATAGACAGTAAGGACTAATAACAAGGTTGCTTTTTTTTTTTTTTTTTTTTTTTTTTTTTTTTTTTTTTGGTAAATCTGACTCAGACACAAGAAGGAAAGCAGAGCCTGCCTTTGGAGGTCATGACCCTCGTACAGCTGTTCAGCTTCGAAGCCTCAGCACAGTATTAAAACGCCTCAAGGAAATCATGGAGGGGAAAAGCCAGGTACTTGAGAAGATCATTTATCAAATATTTCTATGGGCCTCATGCCATACCCACTAAAACTGGCATAATGCCGTCTGAAAGAATGTCCAGTTAGTACTTCCTTCAGCTATGAATGTGTATTTTTACGTGTAAATTCTTAATTTTATAAATTTTTTTCTCCTTTATGGCTAGTGCTTTTTGTTTTAAGTTAAGTGCTTTTCTGTTTAAGAGGTATTTATTTAGCCCACCGTCAGCGAATAGTCTTCCATAGTTTCTTCAAGAAACTTCATTATTCATGTGAAGTTTTGGGGTCAAGCTTTATTTTTTTCTCATGGATGTCTAGAGGGACCCAGCACCAATTTTGGTTTTGAAAGACCATTCTTCACTGATGGCATTATAAATCTTCTCACGAGTCCACATAACATGTGTGCGGGTGTACCAGGGCTCTCTTTTCTGTTATATAGCTCCTGTTTTTTTCTATCCTTGAACTGATTTTCTGTCTAAAATTACCATAGTTTCAGAATAAATTTTGATGGCTGGTAATGTAAGTCCTTCAACTTTGTTTTTGTTTCAGATTGCCTTGGTCATTTTGGCCATTTCCATTCCCACATGAATTCTCGAAATGGTTTGTCAGTTTCTGCAAAAGAAACCTCGTAGGGTATTGATTAGCACTATATTTGTCATTGCATCTTTTCATATTTTCGATTTCGCATATTTTTATTGTTATAGGATAGCGACCTGAAGCAATACTGGATGCCAGACAGCCAATGTAAAGAGTGCTACGACTGTAGTGAGAAATTTACAACCTTTAGGCGCAGACACCATTGCCGCTTGTGTGGGCAGATTTTTTGCAGTCGTTGCTGTAATCAAGAAATCCCTGGAAAATTTATGGGCTATACAGGTAAATGCATTTCATTGAAAGTTTTACAGTTTTTAAAGATTGTAACTGTAAGTCGTTATAATACAGGACCAATGTGAAGCCAGTTTTTATTTTGGAGCTTCATGTGTGAGACATGGGGGACACAAGTGAGGGAGATACAGCTTTGTTTTAAAGGACTTTACAGTCAAATAATAAAGTAGGTGGACATGTTCATAAATAACTAGGGTAAAAGATAGTGTGCCATAGGTGCTAGCAAAGACCATAGGAGTGTTAATATTTGTTAGACAAGATGGTTAGGGGACATTACTAATGTATATTACCACGAGAGTTTTCATTTTACAAAGTGCAGATCTTCCTTGAGTTGTATGATACTGTGCTTTAGAAAATTGCATCTTACTCATGTTCTTTCATGAGTTGTAGCAATATGGAGATTTAAAATTATATGTTGAAGCAGAAAAAAATAATGATGTGTGGATTTATACAGTGATTTGGGAGTGCAAGGTGGACAGAAGTTTCCAAAAAGAGAAACCCTCTCGGCGTCTCTCAAATTATTTTTGTTACCATGCAGATCTTCCTCTTAGCTTTACTCATTTTTTTTCCCACCACTAAACTGCTACAGATTTCAGAGTTCAGTTGTCTCTCATCAGGATTATGGCTATAGCCTTTAAAAGATTTTTTTTTTACCTTTAGTTTTTTGTTTTGTCTAATTCCTTTTCCACATTCTGGTCATTATTCTTTGTTAAATGCTAATTTGATCATGTCAGGATATTCCCCTGCCTGAAACCCTTTCAGAGCGACCATTACCCTTAGGATAAAATCCAGTCTTGTTAATATGGTTGGTGTGTCAGTTTCCCAGGGCTGCCATAACAAAATACCACAAACTGAGCAGCTTACAACAACAGAAATTTACTTTCTCACAGTTCTGGAGGCCAGAACTACCATAATGGCTCTCACTCCACAGGTCAGGGAACTAATGTAGAGATTCTGCCATTTGCTGAGTATGTTTATTCCAATTATATATTTGAGAACTGAGGAATAACGACAGAATAACCACTGAACCCACTAGAAGATGGATCTCAGCTAAAATGCTGTTGATCAGCTGACCTCTGTAAGCCCCTACTCTGGCAGACTACAGTAAAATGTTGGGTCCCTTGGAATTAGTGTCACTTAAGAGCCAAAGTCCAGTAACTTCCCCAAAGTTTGACTGTTAACCTTTTTCTCAATGCACAGTCACCCTGATAAAAGGGTCCCTTTTGGGGAAGGCTGTATACATTTTTGGCAGTGTAGCGGAGTTCTTCCTCAAGGGGACCCAGCCTTCCTGCTTCATTCATGGAATTCGAGGTCTATAAATGGCTCAAGTCTGAGAATTGAAGGGCCATGACTGTTTTTGATTTAAGTTAGACTACTGTCCACTTGATCTAGAGTTCTTCTACAAATCAAGTAAGAATTTAGTGGACTGCCCATTGAATTCGCTTCTAGGAACACCATGATCAATGCCACAGGTCACTATAAGTCAGACTATTCTGGTTGCTGCTTTGACTCTACTGTCTATTGTGGTATGCATGCCCACCTTGTCATTGGCAATGAAGTGCCATCACTCGGCCCCCGCCACCCTGGGATCTAATGGTCTCTGTTGCATTTAGGTTTTCCAATTCAGTGGCAGCAGTTTTCCCACTGTAATTTCTGACCTACAGAGAACAGTGACCACAAAGCTCTACAGGGATGCTGGGGCTCTCCTCACAAATTTATTTCTCATGGTCATGAAAAGCATAGGCTCCAGATCCTCCTGGGTGAGTGAGCAGGTCTTGCTCACTCTTGACATTATAATCCTCTCTTGACATTATAATCTTCCTATTTCTTTGCATCCCTTCCTTCATTGTATACCAGGGCAGTTCTGGCCTTTCAGCTTCTTTTAGTATAGGCTGCTTTTGGTCCATGTTTTAGCCAGGCAACCAACCAACCAACCAACCAACCAGACTCTTAGAGCCCTTTTTTTTACCCCTCAAGCTACGATATTCCATCCAGAATCTTTGCTTAGTGGGCTCATATCAAAAATCAGCTTGGTCCTACTTTATGTTCTTTCCACTATTCTATATCTTTGATGTGTGCTTCCACACGTATTCCCTGAGTTTCTGTCCCTGTAAGTTTGAAAAATCATGTAGTTCTTTTGGAGTGTAGTGCACCTTCTCATGGGTCACACTATACCTTACCTTTCGGGGCTTGTGGGGACTTGAGTCATGTTATAACTCTAGAAGCAAAGAGGGTAGTGGGAGTGGGTCCTGAGGAGAATAAGCAGTATTTGGTAAGGTAGCAAACTCAGGCCATTTTGGATTTCTCAGGCAAAGCAGGGTTAATCTCTGACAGGGTGCGAAGGCTAAGAAAGGCAAACAAGACTCAGCAGAATTTTGGGGTTTAGTGTTCCCCGCTTCATCAGGATCTTTTCATATATCCCCATTCTACTTTTCAGGATTCCATTCCTTCCTAATCAGTGCCCTTATTTTAGTAGCAGTCATACTACAAGATTAATAATTCAGTGTGCGTTGTAATTTAGCCACTTGCAGGATGAAACTCTTAGTTTGATTTTCAGCTCTTTTGCTATAGGAGATAGTGGTTTCTTTCAGGGAAGACATAGGAACTTCTAGGTAATTTGTACAGTTCTTGACCTGGGAATTTGACTTCCTGAGGTCATCCTTTTCTTTCCCCCACTTTGTCTAGTGCAGTTAGGAGCAACCAGTCTATCTCATTATACCCGCTAAATTGACAAAAATCTTTTAAGATAGGAGGCCCACCCACTTTATGGAGGGTAATCTTAATGTCAACAGATTGTGTACGTTAATCATATCTATAAAAACCCTTCGCAGCAACAACTAGACTACTATTTGACCAAACATAAAGTTGACACATAAAATTAACCAACTCATTGCGAATGGGATAAGACATGCTGGATGCAATTGTATGTTGTAGTTGTGAATAAACGTAAAAGTACCCGGAATAATGTATGGCACATGGGAAGGGATGAATGAATATCGAACAGTTATTGGTGTAGTAGCAGTAATATCTCTGTATCTGTCATGTAACTTCTTCATTAGATGTGCCTTTCACCACAGCCGACAGTTCTTTGGTGGGAGAGCTGTCTCATCGATCTTTGTATCCCATCACATAACACAGGCATGTGTTCAGCAGGCACTTGCTGATGAAGATTCTTCATGAAATGAAAACTTTCAAGTTCAGGCTTGGCTGAACTGTGTTGGTCTGGTCATTTTTATTCTGATCGCTGACTGGTTAAGGGAGCTCTCCTTAGAGTAAGAAACAAACCAAGCCTTTGTTGTGGGAACTTAAAGACCTTTCTGCAGGATGTGATTTCACTTCCTTACTGCAATTCTACTTTGGTCAGCTGATGGTGGTATGTCCTAACACTGTCATTTATCCCAGACTGGAGGTCACTTTTTGTAGTCCTGTTTGCAGTGGATATATTTTTCTTTAGTTTTAATGCAACAAGTGGTATTTAATTTTGCTTAAAATATATGCATAACTTAACAAAAACTGAGCACTACGTAGTTGTAGTGTTAAAATGAAAAAAACCTAAAACACCATTTATTAATGTTTATTTATTTTTGAGGCAGGGAGAGAGCATGAGTGGGGGAGGGACAGAGAGAGAGGGTGGTACAGAATCTGAAGCAGGCTCCAGGCCCTGAGCTGACAGCATAGAGCCTGATGCGTGTCTTGAACTCACAAACCATGAGATCATGACCTGAGCCGAAGTCGGCCGCTTGACTGACTGAACCATCCAGGTGCCTCATAAAACACCATTTACTATACTTGGTAGTAATTATGGTAAAAACAGAGTACAGGTGCTTTTAAGAAATCTTCTGTTCCATGTCACTTCAGTTTTCTAATGCTAATGGTGAAAAAAATTAAGGTAGAATTGTTAAATAACATGTTATTTGTGAAGTTTAGTTATCTGACTTTTTTTTTTTTTTTAGTACACTAAACTGTTACAAAATCACATGAATAGTGGTTACAGAAAATCAGGGTAGAAATGAAAACATATTTGGGTGGGGCTGTGTTCTAAAAAAATTTACAATGTACGAGAGTATTAAATTACCTTGTTTGTTCTCTGAAGAATATTTCATTTCCATACTAACGTTCATTATAAGAATTTCTGTAATAGTTTCACCTATGTGCTTCATACTGTGTGTAAGCCCATTTTCTGTTTGTTTTTACAATGGTGCCCCCTTGTGGAGGCCCCTGTTAGGACTTCACAATGGAGACCTCCGTAATGCTTTCCTCTTTTCCTCTTTTCTTGCCGAGGAAAAATATGTTGTTTTCATTTGTATTGGTTATTTACTCTATTTGAATTTTTTTTTTCCTTGAGCCTACTGCCCCTTGTTTCACTTTTAGAATCTTGAAAAATACATTTTTTTTTTTTTTGAAAAATACTCTTTTTTTTTTAAGTTTATTTGTTTTTGACAGAGACAGAGTGCGAGCATGAGCTGGGGAGGGGCAGAGAGAGAGGGAGACACAGAATCTGAAGCAGGCTCCAGGTTTCGAGCTGTCAGCACAGAGCCTGACACGGGGCTCAAACTCACGAACTGCGAGATCATGACCTGGGCCAAAGTCAGATGCTTTTGACTGAGCCACCCAGGCGCCCCGAAAAATACTCTTTTAAAAATAGAGTTTTCTAGTATCAGAGTGCTATTTTCTTAACTCATTAATAAATATTTGAGGTAATTTGGATGCGTGGGTGAATTTATCATAATGATGGTTTTTAAAATGTATAAATGAGCCAACAAAATTATTTTGCATTTTTAAAACCTCTGTTTTGGTGGTCTTTACTTGAAGACGTTTTCCTGTTACTCGAGTAACTGTTAACCCAAGAATTTAATGTGTTGTGTTAAATTGTTATTGTTATCTTTTGAGTTAATTTTCTTTTTTTGTTTTCCCTCTTAGGGGACCTCCGAGCTTGCACATACTGTAGAAAAATAGCCTTAAGTTATGCTCATTCCACAGACAGTAATTCCATTGGAGAAGACTTGAATGCTCTTTCAGATTCCGCTTCCTCTGTGTCTGTACTTGATCCAAATGAACCTCGAACACCTGTTGGAAGTAGAAAAGCCAGCCGCAACATATTTTTGGAGGATGATTTTGCTTGGCAAAGGTACTATCACTTAACTACAGTTTTATTTATATTTGAGAGCTACAGATAGTCTTGTGACCCATGAGAGCCTTCAGTTAATATTTATCTCCTTTTATTATTTCCTACAAATTCCCCACCTTTTTCTTTGGCTTTCTTCAAAAGGATCACAGAATGTTTATCGTGATTATATTGACTAATTAGGATGTAAGCTCTGCAAGAGGAGAGACTTTGTATCATTCTTGCTCACTGTTCTACCCACTGGCACCGAGAACAGTGTAAGGTGTATATGTGATCTTGATAATATTTCTTGAATAGGCAACAGAAGTTATTGGGATTAATGATTTCTTTTTGTTTTGAAGTTTATTTATTTTGAGAGAGGGAGAGGGGGAGAGAGCACGAGCCAGGGAGAGGGAGAGAGAGAGAATCCCAAGCAGGCTCTGTGTTGTCATAAATCTTGAGATCATGACCTGAGCTCAGATCAGAAGTCAGGTGCTTAACCAAATGAACCACCCAGACGCGCCCTGAGATTAATTTCTAATGTAGCTTTCTTAGAGAAACAGAATGCTGTTAAGGTTTGTTTTTATAATATGTGTAAATGGAATTATATTGCCTTCCTAAGGAACATTTCATGTTTTTCCATAGGTCTAAATATGCTACATCGTCTGCTAGTGAAGGATGTTTTTAACTTTTAGAAGTTACCTGGAATTGTTTGAATTAGAATCATAAATTCATCAGTTTCTGATTGTTTTTTGTTAGCTAAGTTATATTCTTATGCGTAACAGTAAATCTGGCCATGTCAAATAGCTTAGAGTTTTAATTAACTTCTTTCTTACAAGTTATTTTGTCAATCACCCCTTAAAGGTATGAGGAATTAATACATAACTAATGAAGTTAAACAGAAGTCAAGAATTACTATGTTACAGCTACATTCTATGTGTATGAATCTTAGGGACATAATGTGGAGCACAAAAGAAAGGCCCATATATAACAGTGATTATTTATGAGGTTCAAGAATATACAAAACCACACTGTCTAGGTATACAAACGTGGTAAACTTAAAGAAAAGGAACAAAATGCTATATACAAAATTTACAACCATAGTTTCATTCAGAGCCCAGAGGGTAACAGGATTGGGTAGGGGAATATAAGCATCTCGGAGTCAGTGCTAATGGTGCATTATTATTTGTGGCATCATGATTCTTTATACATTACATGTATTTTATAAATTTTAAAGATTGATTCTACACTTAATAGAACAATAAAAAATGTAGGAATTCTTAGTTCTTGCTTACATTAGCTAGTAATGCCTTTTAGTTGTACCTGGCCCTATTGTGTGAGCCCAGAATTGGCAAGTATCATCTAATAAACCAGATTTTGAAAGCTTCTTGAGAGATGTAGGATTAATGTCAAAGGTAGAATAATTTTAGTTCTGTGCTGATTGATGTTCATTCTCTTTTTGGTTTTCTCATCTCTGAGATAGGCACTGCTTTCTCCTTTTGACAGATGGAGAAGCTGAGGTTCAGAGAGATTGAGTGATGGACCCAAGTTCATACAGCTAGTCAGATGGAGAGCCTGCACTTGGACCTAGGTTTTTCCGATTCTGCAGTGCTATTCCAGCGGGTTATGGGGACTGAGAATAAAATACTTGAATTCAGGATTTCCCCCCAAGGTCACTTCAGTTTTGTGTATATGATTGATGAAGGAGTGCTGGGAGTACCCATCCAAGCAATGTATTATTTTAAGGGCATACTATATACTTAAACTACCAGTCTTTTGGCATTTGATGCACTTAATGTAAAAAAACATAGTTTCTACCTTAATTAAAATAAAATAAAACTGATGCATAATTTCATCATTGCAGGGGAAAACAATCAGCTTTTATTAAAAAAAAATTTTTTTTAATGTTTATTTTTGAGAGAAAGGGAGACAGAGCGCAAGTAGGGGAGGGGCAGAGAGAGAGGAAGACAGAATCCAAAGCAGGCTCCAGGCTCTGAGCTGTCAGCACAAAGCCTGATGAGGGGCTCCAACGCACGAACCACGAGATCATGACCTGAGTGGAGCCGAAGTTGGGCGCCCAACCTACTGAGACACCCAGGCGCCCCACAATCGCCTTTAAATGTTAAAGCACTTCATTGAAATTGGATTTGCTTGTTACTGTCCCAAAACACAAAAGCATCTCCATATTTTTCTACTTTCTTTATAGTTTGATTCATCCAGACTCCTCAAATACTCCTCTTTCAACAAGGCTTGTATCTGTTCAAGAAGATGCTGGGAAATCTCCTGCTCGAAATAGGTAAGCTGCCAAATGAAAGCTTTATATTCTGTGTTTGAATTTTTCTTTTTTTCATAGTAATGAGAAGAACAAACAGATGAAAATGGGTGAGATTGATTGTTATACTTTCTTAGCTCTAAAAGCTGAATTAAACTGTTGTTTTCCCTTTTGCTAGTTAGCTCTGGCTTGCATTCTCTTCAGTATCTCTTTTCTAGTATTTTCCACTGGCTTCAGATCTTGGAACCCACAGCCTCCTCTTTCTTCTAGCTTAGCAGATGGCCTTATTTTCTATTTCATAGGGAAGAGAGGAGGTAACAGATGGGCACTTCCTTAACTCTTACCACCACTTACCAACTTGATTACATTTAGAGCTAATTTTTTTTTTTTTTTTTT